AAAATATAAATTTTTTCGAATATTTTATGTCCAAAATCGCTTAGTAGCGTGGTCCTACGTGCTTTTTGTGCCGGCAGTCCAGTGCCCCTTTGGAAACTCTCATTCAATTGAATTTTAGCACTTTTCATATGACTTATAATGGCAGTCGAAGCGCGGCATTGAGAACTGCTGGTGGAGGTGCATAAAGATGGATAAAAGATTATAATGAGATTATTCTCACCGAATTGCGGAATCAAATTCAGTGTACATCGGCAGGCTGACCACTATATCATAAAAGTGCACTGCGGTCTCGCCAGTAAATATGCTTGTGCCCTTCAAATGGCCGCACCGTTTGATTTTCATTCCTACCCGCACATCCACTACTACATCTGGATTTACAGCTGGGGGATAATGCAGAGAACGCTTGCTCACGTGCTCTTCTACAGCATGGCATAACTTCGCCCTTGATGACTTATACTTCAGTCACAGCAATCATTAATAGGGTTTTTGCAATGAAACAGCGGAAAACGCTAGATACGGAAGAATTCCGTGTCAAGACGTAATTTTGAATATTTTGCTGCACTGTGAAATTAAGAATGTGTTGCGAAAGTGGCGAAGGAACGCGTTTTTATTACGAGAACTTTAGCACTTCATAGCTAGAGACTGGCACCCATGTGAGGACTTTTAACACTAGTAACTCGGAATTCGTCATCTTCATTTCTTTTCTAGCCTGTTAGAAATTAGTAGCGACGAGCAGCAGGTGCGCCAGTGTGACAGATGGGAATATGACAATATACTTTCTGCATGACTGTTTCAGCGCAGACTGCTTAAAAATACTTATAAGCGTAGCACTGACTAAGAATTAATGCAGTGTTGATAAAAGCAGAAAAGTAATGTCGGTTTTTTGAATTCGCCACATGTAATCGCGCTTCGATTCAATTTACTGTAAAGGGCTCGTTTTTTCACTGACAAACTCCGAGTACAGTTTTTTTTCCATTCCTTTAGACAGTGGCATCTATTAGTTCACCAAAAGGACAAAAAATTCTGATATCACAGTCTTTTCACATTGCTAAAAAGCCGTGATGGCTATGATGCACAAGAGGATCGAGCACACCTTGTGCAAACATTTTGTTTGACTTTGCAGTCCTCTCCCAACAGGTCTTGTGTACAGTCATAAAATGAAGGCAGCTGGCTC